TCTTCAAATACAGTGGTGCCCCGCATAGCGAGGTTAATCCGTTCCGGATTAACCTTCGCTATGTGAAATCTTCGCTAAGCGGGAAGTAAAAAGCCATTGGAACGCATTAAACTTCATTTAATGCGTTCCAAATCGGCCCTAAACTTCCCACTTAGAGAAGTTTCCTGGCCCCGGGCAGCCATTTTCGCGCCCTTGGCAAGCGAGGGGAGGGCGCAAAAACGCGGTGCGGGGCCATTTCGGGTCATCCGCGGCCGTTTTGAAGCTGCAAAACAGCTGTTTTGCGGCTTCAAAACGGACCCGAAATGGCCCCGCGCCGCATTTTCGCGCCCTCCCCTCGCTTGCCGAGGGCGCGAAAACACCGCGCGGGGCCATTTCGGGTCATCCAGCACCCATTTTGGAGCCGCCGAACGCGGTTCCAAAATGGCCGCCGGACTCCCCAATCGTCGCAATGCGAGTGCGGCGATTGGGTGCTCCGTATAGCGATCCCGAAAAAGGGGATCGCTATATGGATTCGTCGTTATACGGTGCGCTCGCTAAGCGAGGCACCACTGTACAGTTCTACCACTTTAGAGCATAACCTTTAATAGTCCTAGCTAGAGATGGGGGTATTTGTATACGAATAACCCCACACAGGTGGAAATAGCGAGGGTCCGGCCCCATGGGGCTGCACTGTCCACTTACGATTTTGCCACTGCTGCCGGCTTCCTATCACGCCATTGTCCTCAATCGGTTACCCAGTCCTGGCAGGGATGACAAGCCTCTCTGCTACGTTGGAGAGTGGCTAATTCATTGCGGAGAACAGCGCAAAAGGAAGCCTCTACGGAGCCGGCAGCAGTGCCGAAATTGTGAGTGGACCCTTGTTATTTCCACCTGTGCGGGGATATTCATATTCGTATAAGAATACAAATACCCCCATCTCTAGTCTCAGCATTTCCTCCATTCTTAAATTGAACAGAGTTGCCAGCCAGCTGGTATCTCACTGCTCTGTCTCGTGAAACCAGGTAATGTGTGTCTCATGGTTTGAAAACAAATACAGCTTGGCCATATCATTTGGGGGGGGGGGAACATATGCTTAATGGTCATCATTAAGAAGGAAAGGAGAGGGAAATAAACCCTTGAAGCTGATATCACATTATTATTATTATTTAAATGCTGATCTAGTATAACTGATTGATTTATGCCAGTCCTTATTTTTCCATAGAGTTGGCGCCATGTTTTTCATGACTACGAACCAGTGTTTCAGCAGCATCTCTGCTATTGAGCTGTTCATTGTAGAGAGGAAGATATTTATGTAAGTATGATCTTGCTGAGCAAATAATGGGGGCTGTTGATTAGCATCACTGTTTGAGAAAGGGCTTTTTAGATTGTAATCCTAAAAAAATTGTGCTGTGCAAGAAAATATCTTGTTTATAATCACAGTCTGCCAGCCATTCACTGGAGTGTAGTTTCCCTGAAGCATCTGTAAAGCTGTATTGAGCATCGGTGTGGGTTCATAGGCAAACCTAGTTAGTATGCTTAGCCATTTGAAACATTATCCAGAGGGGTGAGGAACGCATATAGAACCATTTTTTTTGAATTGGGATAAAGATGAAGCAAAATGATAGGACTGAGAAAGAAAGTACAGGACTCCAGAGGTTCTTGAAGAAGCCCTGATCATTGGCTATGCTTGCAAGGGCTTCTGGGAGTTGTAGTCCAAGAACATCTGGGAATGTTTAGAAATTACTCTTTTAAAGTATAACAACTTTGCACTTGTATCACTGTCTCTCTCTGTATTACGAACATATAGTATGATCTGTGACATTTGTGATTGTCATCATTTCCACCAGAAGAATCCAGGGGATCATAGTTTAGTGGAGTCCCAGATTATCTGAGACAAACTTTCCTCTCAGTCTGTCTCATACTACAATTTCCAGGCATCCCAGAGAAGAATAGTTTTTTAAACAAGTTGAAGTCTGTAGTGTGGAAGTACCCAGCCCCTGTTTCCTAAGTTGGGTCTTTTAAAAACGATTTCATGTTCAACATGACAAGATAGGCTGACTTCTCAGAGTGAGCAGACATAAATGCTTTTGCAAATTATCCTGATCATATTGGTAATATTATTTGGTAATACTTTGCCATTCTGTTTCAGCCATGAGTATATCAGTGGATATTACAGAATTTCTGCATACTACTTCTCTAAGCTGATGGCTGACTTAATACCCATGAGGACACTACCGAGCATCTTCTTCACTTGCATAGTTTATTTCATGATAGGCAAGTATATAGTTCTTGACACTGGACAGCAGTGGCCCAGAGGTGGGGTAGGGTCCTGCAACAAAATATTGCAACATTGAGTGTTCATATTCATTCTTCCAACTATCCATCCGTCCACACACACTTCCATTGCATTTCTTTTCCACTTCTCTAATTCCTCCCATTTCCCATTCAAAATAGACATGTGGTATTCTATAGCCTTTGAGCCTGTTCATTTATTTTTGGGTTGTTTTGGAGATTTCACCCACCCTTTTCTTTTTCCTACAGTACTTTTGTACTTGTACAAACCCTGGGATTTTTCCACGTCTGCTGTTACCTACTTCTTGTATGCAAATGGTGCAATTTTGGCTGTAGAAGGATCCAGACTTGGAGAACTGAGTTTGTTGTTAGCACCTATGATTATGGATAGAATGTGAAATGTGAATCTAGAGGATAAGTCTAAATCCTACTTCATTAATCGGAGAGCCCAATGGTTTGGGCATCTGGCTTCAGAGCCAGAGGTTGGAAGTTCAACTCCGACTGTGCCTCCTTGACAGGGGCTGGATTCAATGATCCATTAGGTCCCTTCCAGCTCTGCAGTTCTAAGATTATTATTATTAATTGGGTCTGCTCAGATGTAAACGTGGCCCAGGTTGGCAGAGCAAACAGCACCAACCAGTAGCTAAGTTAAGTTTGGAATCTGCCTCTGAATATCTGAATGGTTAGTACCGCACCTCTCTGCCTTTGGAAAGAAATCACATCCATGCTTCTTGTTCTAAGAAAGCTTTTGCTGAGAAATATATTAATATTGTAAGCCACCTTGGATCCTTTAGGAGGAAGGTGGGATACGAACGAATGAACAAACAAATGAACAAACAAACAGAGGAAAGATGGTAGGAATCCTAGTTCTAGCTAACTAACATGAGACTGTAGGAAACTTTGGCTCTCCCTTCATCTCTCAAGAACAAAGACAAGACATCTCTTCTGTCTTTTCCCAGAGAAGATCAAGAAGGATACGTGAGTAGGGAGTGGTGGCAACAGCAACCCTAAGATCACAATCTAAGGTTAAAGGAAAGCCAGTGTAGGTCACAGCAAGTAAAGTATTTATTTATTTATTTATTTATTTATTTATTTATTTATTTATTTGATTTGATTTGATTTGACTTTAACCCCGCCCCTCTAGACCATGTCTACTCGGGGCGGTTTACAAAATAAAACAAAACAGTATAAAAATATATAAAATCATAAAATTATAAATTTCAGTTTTCAAGTGCAATCTAGGAAACCTGGGGCACTTCTCTCTCTACCTTCTCCTTTCCATGCAAAGACATGTATCTGAATCAATGAAAGCTGAATTATACCCAGTCGCTTCCAAGACGTTCTACCACACTCAGGTCAGGAGTGGGCCTTGCACCTGCATGCTTTGTTCCTTTTCAGTGTGAATAGAAGGGACCAAGCTCTCCAGGGAACCTTGTATTCATTAGAAAGGAGAATCTTTTGGTTTTCTTCCAAACTTCTTTCTTTACTAGGCAGACAGAGAAAGGAGGAAAATGCAAACAAGGGACTTGGTACCCATTATCCCCTTGGGTGATATCCCAAACACCAAACATTTTTCTCCAGATGCATGCAGGATGAAAAGTAAAAAGGTATCTTGATGAAATCACAGTTTGCCTAATCCATTTGGCATACTCTGTAATAGCAGCATAACCAGGAGTGTAGTGCTAGTGAAATATTTCACAGAGAACACATATTAACACCTTCCTTTTTCTGTTTTCAAAGGTCTGAAACCAACAGCAGCTGCCTTCTTTATCATGATGTTTACCTTGATGATGGTATCTTATACAGCTACCGCTATGGCACTTGCTATAGCCACAGGACAAAGCGTGGTGGCTGTAGCTAATCTACTCATGACCATTTCCTTTGTTTTTATGATAGTGAGTAGACTTACTTTTGTCCTCTGATTTTGAAGCAGGTGGGAAACTAAATTGTGGCTTGGCTTGCAGCCAATTGGCTACACCTATCTGGCTGGAACCAGCCATCACCATGTACAACGAGAAATACTTCCTGTCTCCACTAAGATGCAGTCACCTGTGGAGAAGTATGCTACCATTTTGGATGGGTTCTGCACTTTATGGGTGACTAGCACCTGTCTGCCAATATATGAACTGTGGAATAATCCCAGCAAGAAAATAATGTAACACTGGAATTCTCCATGGGAAGTTGAAGTAGAGCTGACCAGCGTTGCAGGTTGATGGAGGCACTAGTAGGAAGCACAAGCTGGCTCATCCCTATGCAATCAGGCTAGAATTTGTTGGAGTCAAAGCTCTTGAGTACCATCCTGAGCGCTTTAATTTTCCTGGCTCTTATGTGAGGAGGTATCCAGGAGCTCCTAGTGGGGATGTAAAACCTGAAACCCAACAAACAAAAACAGGTGTCCTGTTTAGCAAAACAGTGGTAACAAGAGTGCTAGGACTTCTATGGCAAAACTGGAGTTGATATATACGTACACATTCAGAAGTACTGTTAACTCTGAACTTGATTTGTGTGCAGTAGGACTGAATCCTGCCACTCAGCTATCATTTGTTTATTTATTAGAAGTATTTGTATTTTTATATCATTTCTCATTTGTACAATGCTCAAGAGGTTGCACACAATAAAACAAACCAGTTAAAACACAATCTCGTGGCATATGAAAAAAATTCAACCACTTCATGGCTAGGAAAATTCCAATGTAAAAACAGATGTTTGGTAAACATCTATAATGTCCCAGGCTTGATGAGAAGGGGAGATGAATCCACAATTTGTGATCCTACAAAAACTGACTATCTTTGTGTTTTTGCTGAATGCAAATTTGCAGGCCTTGGCGTCTTTGTGCCAAGTGCAACTTTCTGCAAAAGTTTAGTTCTCTATCCATGTGTTAGATCTGTGCTTCCCAGCTTTGAATCCCCAGATGTTCTTGGACTGGAACTCCCAGAAATCCTGTCCGGAACAGCTAGTGGCAAAGGCACCTGCAGACTTAAGGTTGGGAACCATTTTTGTTAGATCAAAATCCTCTTATGAACTAACTGATTTATAGCCAATACCATTTCCTAGAAAGTCCTCATATTTCTCTCAGCAGTGTTTAAAGGTAGTAATGGTCTGTTGTTTCTCCTATACATGCTACCAGAAGTATCCCACTGTTACATTTTGGCACTTCTCTAATGCTGAGGACTTGAAATGTGCCTTTTGAACTATCTCATCAAATAGTTAGCAAACATCAAATTTTGTGGCTAAATGCAAGCTTATGCTACGTATATACAATTTATGGATTACCCCAAGCCAAAAATGACAAAACGAGCTTGTGTTTCTCTGAAGTTCTCCGAAAAATATGAAAAATTGAGGTAGCATGTCAGTTATGCCTAGATGTGTTTTATACCTTGATACAGAATAGAATCAATCATAGAATAATCAAGTCCAACCTCCTGCTCAATGCAGGAATCCATATCAAAGCAGATCTGGCAGCTGGTTTCTCTAATTTTTTCTTAAATGTCTTCAGCATTGGAGCACTTACCACCTCCTGGGGTAATGGTTCCATCATTCTTAAATGTCTTCAGCATTGGAGCACTTACCACCTCCCGAGGTAATGGTTCCATCGTTGTACTGCTCTAACAGTGAAGAGGTTTTTCCTGATATTCAGCTGAGCTTTGTATGAAAGCATCTACATACAAGCACCACCTTCTGCATCTCTTAGAGGAAAGGTGTTTAAGCATATCACAAAGCACATGTTAAGAATGTGCCTGATGTGCATCTTCAGCATTGGAGCACTTACCACCTCCCGAGGTAATGGTTCCATCGTTGTACTGCTCTAACAGTGAAGAGGTTTTTCCTGATATTCAGCTGAGCTTTGTATGAAAGCATCTACATACAAGCACCACCTTCTGCATCTCTTAGAGGAAAGGTGTTTAAGCATATCACAAAGCACATGTTAAGAATGTGCCTGATGTGCACTGAAGCTTGATTTCTGCTATATGTATTAAATTCTCCCACAATAATAGTATTGACTATATTAATTTTAATAATACTAATCATTTAATTGGTTATGTAAGAAATCACACAATTCTGGTAATCTCTGTTGATGCTTGTCTCTCGGTTTAATGGTAATAGTTTAAAAATTATAAAAGCTGTGCAGTTTTAATTTGTAATTTTGGTTTCACCTGCAGATTTTCTCTGGATTGTTGGTAAATCTGACCACTATTCTGTCTTGGCTGTCTTGGCTTCAGTACTTTAGCATTCCTCGATATGGCATGACAGTAAGTGTTCCTTTGTGCATCATGATAGAAAACATTAATCAGAGGGGAAGAGTTTGTATTTTATATTGGAGCATTGTTGCTAGGCAAACAAATTAAACCAATTTAAGCCTTTAGATCTGTTTATATACAGTGGTGCCTCGCTAGATGATGATAATCCGTTCCACTGAAATTGCTGTTTAGCGAAATCATTGTCTAGCGAAAAGCATTTCCCCATTGGAATGCATTGAAACCTGTTTAATGTGTTCCAATGGGATAGAATCGTCATTGTCTAGCGAAGATCGGCCATAGGAAAGCCGCTTTGCGAACCGCCGATCAGCTGTTTAAATCGCTGTCTTGTGAAGCTTAGGTCCTGAAAACACCTGCTTTGCGAGCGTGGAGGGAGCTGTCAAAATCGCTGTCTAGCAAAAATCGGTTTGCGAAGCAGGGACCAAACATTGTCCAGCGAAATTCCCCCATAGGAATCATTGTTTCGCGAATCGCTATAGCGATCGCAAAAAGTCAATGTCTAGCGAAAAAACTATCATGCGGAGTAACTGTCTAGCGAGGCACCACTGTAATTGTATTTTAATGCACGTTGATTGCACTGTTCTTGTATTTTATTTTATTTTTTGAGTTTTGTCAAATTGGTATTTTAATTATGTTGTTGTATGTTGTGTTGTAAACTGCCCAGTGTGGCCCTAGGCCAGATGTAGGGTGTAGAAATGAATCTAAATGAAAGACTCAATCAATCAAACAAACAAACAAACATGTAGTTTGGGAGTACTCCTTGCTTATAGCTGTTGCCACCTAAGTTAAATCATGTGACAACAACATTAATGGCCGTGTTGAAGTATAGACTGAGCATGAATACATCTTACAAAAACCTCCCAAAACCTGGCACTTCCAGTCTGCCCATGCTAGTTGGCGGCTTTTGGGAGTTGTCACCCCAAAGACCTGGGATGGGGGTATCCCAAGCTAAAAGATACTGACATGCAAGGCTGTTCTGTGAACACTGTAGGGAGCTAATCTGAGAAGCAGTTTCATGATTCGTCTCTATGCTGTACAAACTCAAAGAAATAAATAATATGCATAAGGGGAAAAACTTTCAACAAGATGGGAAATAAATAATAAATAATATGTAAATGTATTCACAAAGGCTTTCACGGCCGGGATCTAACGGTTGTTGTGGGTTGTTCGGTCTCTTTGGCTGTGTTCTGAAGTTTGTTCTTTCTGACGTTTCGCCAGTCTCTGTGGCCGGCATCTGAAGATGCCAGCCACAGAGACTGGTGAAACATCAGGAAGAACAACCTTCAGAACATGGCCAAAGAGCCCTAAAAAGCCACAACAACCAATATGCAAATGATTCCTCCCTTCCTTTTTTAAGTAAAATTATATTGTAACAACTAAACCAGTCTCTCTTGGGACTTACATAGAGTGTGCATTAATTATGTTATTAGCAATGACACTGAAGATTTAAAAAATTAAGCACCAGCTGTGATAAGGGTGTGTGTGTGTATGCACTGTGTGTTTGAGAGAGAGAGAGAGAGAGACTATAATCGACACTGTAGTTTGGGTGCTGGTTGAAGCCATCCGCATGAACCACAATCTAAATAAAAATTACCCCAGCTCAAGTGGCAATTAACATGAGGGGGAAAAAAACTTTCATTGACTTCTATAACCAACTACTTTGTTCTTCATCTTCAAAGGCACTGCAGATTAATGAATTTGTTGGGCTAGATTTCTGTTGCTCAAATACTACTTTGACCAATTCCAGCTGTATAAAGAGTAGTATGTAAGTATGTTATTTTAAAATTCTAATTAATCCTACCACAGTAGGGTGGAAACCTCTGTAGCAAGAGGACTACTAACGTCTGTTTCAACAGATGTGTTTTAATTTATGACATCACATACTATTATGGCAGTATTATTAAAGGTGCATTCCTTAATCTGATTAAATGAGGGGCTAACAGCTCAGAGGCCCTCAAACCAAAACAAACCTCTTGAGCAATAATTACATTTTATGTACACACATGGGGAGAGAGCCCATGTTAAGCATTGCCTAACTGTACTGTACCGTCTCTACATTTTCAGTTCATACAACTACTGTATACACTATGTTTATGAATTCCTGGGTAGGTTGCAAATGTTAAAATGAGTCCTGCTTTCAGAATTACAACCTAAAAATAAAAATATGAAGTACTGTATTAGAGGGAAGAGCAAACAAAAAACAGATGGGGAAAAGCCAACCTGAAGAGATGTATAAAGAGGCAAATGGAAAGGTCTTAATCTCGCTCTATTCCATGCAGAATGGCCGACTGCTGGTGGGACTTGGGTTGGATATTCCGATGAAATATGGAGAAACATCTTGTACTCTTGTCAGTTTATTGATCAGTCGAGCTCCCTGATGCTTTCATCAGCCTCCTCCAAAACAGCACCATCCACATATATTGAATTATAGCTCCCTTCATCCCCAGCCAGCATGGCCACTAATGGGAACTGTTCTCCAGTACGTCTGGAGGTTAACCAGTTGATGAATGCTAGTCTGTGCTATATTGTAATACCCAGGGTAGCTAATTCAACGAGTGGGTGGGGGGGCCATATAGCCCCCTGGGGAACCATAGTGTATAGGTGGCCACAGACTGGAAACAACACACATCATCTTATAAGGTTTCTTATGTGATACATTCCAGATTCGGCCTATATTTCTTTCATTTTGTGTTTATGGCTATGGGGGGAAAAGTTGAGAATGGCTGCTCTAAGGTTTCAAACGCAAGTCTTTCCCAGTCCTAGTCTGAAAATGTCATGGACTGAATCTGGAACTGTCTGCATGCAAAGCAGATGTTTTATACTTGAGCTACAGTCTTCTTCAAAGAAAGGGCTTGATTTCCTCCCTTGTCTTCCTGTGCTGGATTTATTGTGTGGATTTAGAGTGTACTGGGGGATGCCTACAATGCCTTACATACAGGATTAATACTCAGAACCTCTACCTGTATTTTTTGTTGTAGGTGCAATGGAGAAGAATATTTGAGAAGCCAAGGCATTGAGCCAACCGTCTGGGGCTTGTGGCAGAACCATGTTGCGCTCGCTTGCATGACTGTCATTTTCCTTTCCATTTCGTATATCAAGTTGCGTTTAATGAAGAAATTCTCTTAAAACAAACTTGTCCTAAGCAGAAGAGCTGCAGCCACCTTCCCCAATTAGTTTCCTTCAGGTGTTTTTAGGCGACACCTTCTATCTTCGCTTGCCTACAGGATCGTAGGAACACATGTGGGAAGCACCAGAATAGCGGAAAATCTGAGCTATAAAGTGGACTGTTCTTGTCTCACTTATATTCTTGATTTCTCAAATGAATACATAATGAAGAAAAAACAGCACTACCCAATATCTACCTTTATAATACACTCAATTATTCATCTGTTATATTGACTAACCTGTTAGTGGCACTGGCTGCTCCACTCGCTTGGAAATCTAAAAATCCAATATCATGTATAAACCACCCTCAACCGGCATGTCCAGATCAAGACTCCGTACTTGCAAGCTCCATAGACGGAAGTGGGAGACAGTTAATCATTCGTTGAATGTTCCTGATAAAATAGGTCGACAAAAAGTATTTGACTCTGCCTGGATAATAATTGTTAGAATTTGAAAGAGGCTTTTTGCAAGACTCACCTCACAATCTGAGGTGTGATGGAGTCCCTGACAAGGACTTCCAAACAGAAAAAAGCATAGAAGTGAGAAATGTATGGGTTTGAAATGTAAACCATCTTTATTCAGAAGGTCAGAAATTCTTATAAGCTACTGCTATCATTACTCCTCTTATTTTGATGAGTGTCACACAGATTAGCCATTTTACATGTGAACCTCATGCCTGTGTTCAGTAGAAGTGAGGAACACAGCTGAGTCTGATGGGGATCTGTCCCCAACCATGCGGATGCTCAGCATGGAGTCTGCAAAGTATGTTTATCCATAGGTTCTCCCTTTCAGACATTACGACTGACTTTAGGGAGTCACTTTGGCTGCAGTTCAATGGATGAAATTTCTGTGTGTATTTAATTTGAACACAACTAGCTGAAATAATTACCCTCAACTATAGTAGGTCCATTGAATCAATGGAGCCAATAGAGGAGTTAACTCAACAAATCCCCACCGATTCGATGGGCTTACTGTACTCCTACATTTCAGCCATTGCATCATCTGCTGACCTAATCCAGCTGGTATGTAAGGGGCTAACTACATGCTATATAAAAAGGCACATTTGTATTCTTGCTCTTAAAGTAGGGTGCTCTGGAAAGGGAGGGGATGCATATATAGACAAGTAGAATGGGGGGAAAGGTAGAATATTTTTCACGTCAGCACTTCCCTTTCAAACAAGGTCCACTGTCCACTGATACTAAATGAACGTTGTAAGTCATGCCATTGCACCATTATATTTTATACAATATCTTTGTTCTCTCCTGCCATCCCCAAATATATAGGAGAGTGTGAATTAGGGCACCTCAAATTTAATTTAGAAATTTGTATATGCATCATAGGAATGAAAGCATTTAATATATAAATCGTAACCAAGCAGCAGAAGTATAATTGCTTGTTATATATTTGATGTTTGACGTGCAAATTACAGTCATCCTGTATTAGTTTTACATGCTTTAATTTAATGTATGATATTTCCATACTGTGCAACTGCTTTGCCCTATTATGAGCCCAGAATATGGTGGTAAGATTGCTCCTCTCCCTCTGTTCCTTATGTATCAAGGAAGATACTACAAAATAGTAAGTGTGCTTTGTAGTTTTCGACAAGTTTTCATCATGCTGGATGGTATGAAAAGCACGTGGTTAAGGGAAGAGTCATGGTCGTGTCATTTTGGCCAGTTTTGTAATAAAGCTATTGTCCAATCTATTTTGTGTGTGTGTGTGTGTGTGTGTGTGTGTGTGTGTGAGAGAGAGAGAGAGAGAGAGAGAGAGAGAGAGTGCACGTGTATTTTCTGTACAGGTCCAGCTACTGATACTTTCTATTTAGGATTATTAAACCTAAAGGCAAGGGCAGGATATATCTGTCATTTTATTTGCACACGTCTCGTTTCTGTTGCGATTATGTCAGATAATTAAATAAAAATATATCTTGCCATTTCCATATGGAAACCATCAGTATCTTTTCAGAGACAGACAGAGAGAAAAACACTGTTCCTGAGCTAAATTGCAGTAAATGCCCTCACTACCATCCAAATGGACGTAAAATAAATATAATTTTTAAAAAGTCTTTGTTTCCGCATAGAGACACGTACAAAGACAAGCTCCTTATTGATTATTTATTCACTTAAAATATTTTTATCCCGCCTTTCTCCTCAAATAAAGGACCCAAGGTGGCTTACATCATTAAAAAGACAATATTTAAAAGCTAAAAACAGTAAGTATGTAAATATTTCAAAAGAATGAAACAAGCCTTATATTAAAAATGGTAAATCAATATTAAAACACATTTAAAACAACAGAGCCCAACTGTCTGTTTAAAGATTTGTGGGATGGAGTTTCCTCTGAGACAACCAGTCATTAAGGAAAAGCCTGCCTGAAGAGAAAGGTGTTTGTTTTGACAGCAGGATCTGGTCTACGAGAGGCAGAGGGGGGTCACCCCAAGGTCCGTGCTCCTAGCACACTTGGCTCCAGGGAACCCCTTTGTGCCACTGCTGGAAGGCACCTGTGCCGGCCCACGGAATGCAGCAAACCAACCGACCGTTGGCATTCCTCCTCCTTCTGCCTTCCAACAGTCACCTGGGCACACCTGGCCCATCTGCGCATCTGCTTTCCAGTGCAGTGCCTTGCTTGGATTTTTCTCTCTCTCTCCCTTCGACAAGCTGCAATACCGTCATCTTTTGGCTGGGTAAATGAGGTGAGGCGGGGGGGGGGGGGGGAGACTGAAGGAGGTGAAACCAAAGGAGGAAAGGGGCTTGTAAACGTGGGTTTAAAAAAGCCTGGCCTCCGTCCTGTGAAAACAACAACAAAGATGTGTATGTGTGTGTAACCTGCCTAACTTTGCCACTTCTAAAATTAGCTAGACATCCAATTCCTGTATCTAAAGGAAACAAAAAATCTCCTTTAAAAAAACAGGAAACACATTTTGTTTCCTTACACTTTTGTGGACAAGAACTCAGTCCCACAAAATCTTATGCTTACCGCTCTCCCCATGTTCATTTTTGAGGCACCTTGAAACTTTTTGGCATCTCTGTGGTGAATGGAGAAAGCACCTGTCCAGATGGTGCTGGGATTTAATTCTCTTCAACCATAGCTAGCCTTTGTTTAGTTGTTAAATCATGTCCAACTCTTCCTGACTCCATGGACCAGAGCATGCCAGGCCCTCCTGTCTTCCACTGCCTCCTGGAGTTGGGTTAAATTCATATTGGTAGCTTCGATGACACAGTCCAACCATCTCGTCCTCTGTTGTCCCCTTCTCCTCTTGCCTTCACACTTTCCCAACATCAGGGTCTTTTCCAGGGAGTAGGGGCAAAACATGATGTGAGTCAACACCATCTGGAAGTCCATGGACCTGAAACATATATATTTTAATATTAGTATATATGAATACAGTTCAGTGGCTCTGAGTTATGTTCACATATACTAATATTATTACACAAACACATAGTGGTGAAATGATACATTTGAAGTACAGACACTCATCCAAAAAATGTACACTTTAAAGAGCATCCCGTTGATTAGGGTCTGTATAGCACTACATTAGGGAAGGTTGCCTAGTGTAAAGAGATGTGGATCTCACTTTCAGGGCAAAACTGAATGTGAATTCTTTGCAACAGACTTTCTCCCTCTTGAGAAATCGCACAGAAAATCTTTCTCAGAGGTGTTGTGCTCATTGTTTCTGGGAGAAATGCCAACCTGCACAGGATTATTATAACTCTGGGCATCTTTTCTGTGCAGGATTTGCCAGAAAGGTATTAATGTGCAGGATTTAGAAATTTCCTGTACAGAGTAACAAGTATAAACAAGGGAAGAAAAATAGAAAGGAAACCCAAATGAATCACTGGTGCAGGAGGAAGTCTTAGTGGGGAATCTGATTGATTGATTGATTGATTGATTGATTGATTGATTGAATACATACATGCATACATGCATACATGCATACATGCATACATGCATACACACACACACACACACACACACACACATACATACATACATACATACATACATACATACATACATACATACATACATACATACATACATACATACATACATACATACATACATACATACATGAAAAATTAAAACCACTAAAGAACATCCACATATACAAATACAGTGCTCCTCCTTACCAAGACCAATGGAGATAAACTATTCTTTCCTTCCTAAAAAAGAGGGGAATCTTAGCAAGATAAGACATAGAAAATCACTAAGAAATTTTGGTCCTATTGCAGCACATAAGTGCATTTCTTGAGCACACTACATAGTCTGACACCCCACATTTCACAGTGTTTAGCCACACACATCTGTGAACCTCCCCTGCTGCCAACAGGGCAGAAGGCCCTTTCCTGCTGGTTTTCCTCATCCCCAGCATGTGATATTTGGACACATGCAGATTTTCCAACCAGTAGTTCAGGCATGAAGAGCTCTGGAGGAGTGGTGCCCATTTTACAGAAATGTGTTTCCTTATCATTTTCCTTGCAGTTTGCATTTCACAGGCAAGGACGAACTTTGTCATAACCAAAATATTTATGTTGTTGGACACAAGATTCTTGCCAGTGCAGTCCTCCTGATCTTGTTAGACTATAAATCCCAGCATTCTTAACTACGTACTATGCGAGCTAGAATGGATAAGTAATGTAATTCAATAACATCTGCAGAGTGTACTTTGTTCACCCTTGCTTCAGTTGGCATGAAGGATGGAGTTTATAACACAAGGTTGGGGATGGAGATAAATAAAAGAAAGAAACATATCTTTGAATCATGGTGCAGCCATCTATCCCATGTTCTAAACTGGATCCCATATGCTAATTGTGAGCCCTTGTACAGAATATAGTAAGTCATACAGGAGAAGAAGAACACAGCATTACAATTCAAATCAAGAAACAGAAGAATATTGGATGGAACAGTGAAACATCAGCACTTTATTTGTTTGTTTGTTTGTTTGTTTATTCAAGACACTTAAATCCAATGACCCCTGAAAATAAAATTCAATTGCAAGAAAATGAAATGCCCAAAAAAACCAGTAACATTTAATGATTTAGTTGCAAGTGAATTTTAAGATGCAAAAAGAAATATTAAAAGGGCTTAAAAACAAACCACAATGCAGGTTTGACTTGCTCCAGCGCCCCTACACCGCCCCTTTTCGTTCTACTGCCCCCCTGAAAAAATGAAATCGCCCCCTGGGGGGCATTATTGCCCACGTTAAGAACCACTGATCTAGCAGTAATTTTCATAAATGCAACTGGCAAGCAGGAGCTCTCTGCTTAACTAGTTTCCTCTTGTTAGACTCCTCTGTCCTTCCCTTCTGTTGGGATGAGACATCTCTGAGTCTGTTTTCTTAGAGAATTCCATAATATTGTATTGCCATAGGGTAATCGGGAATACAATAGATTGGATTATCATGGCTCTGGTCTCCAGTGATGATCTCTTCTAGTTATTGCTGCCCCTTCAGGTCTCACCGTTCTTCTGATTTCTTGGCTGCAGTCTCAATGTGGATTGATAACTGGATCAAGGTGTACAAAATCCTTAACATTTTCAATATTTTCATTGTCAGGATTAAAGCTATCTAGTCCATTAGCAGTCATGATTTTTGTGGTCCTTGTAGAATCTGAAAATAGGTACATGGCAGGGATGAGGACTCAAGTCATAGGACTATCTGTCAAATTGGACTTAAGTTGCACCGGTGACTCAACTGGGACTTGACACCGGATTTTTTTTCAATGACTCGGATTCGACTTGTGGCTCAGAACCCACCCACCCTTCCCTTTTTTCTGGGGAAAAGAGCTTGTTTTTAATCACGACTTGGGGTTGGGCCTTGGGACTCAGGACTTGGTACCAAAGACTCAGATGTGGGACTTGGTACCAAAGACTTGGGACTTGGACTCCAAAGACTTGCCAAGATCTCTGGGGTTTTGCATGCTAAAAGTGGGTTACTGAGTGCTTCCCGGTGAGGTGCTGAAGAGCTGCCTTGAAATTAAGTAATTCTGGGAGGGACGTGGTGGTGCTGCGGGCTAAACCGCAGAAGCCTGTGCTGCAGGGTCAGAAGACCAAGCAGTCGTAAGATTGAATCCACAGGACGGAGTGAGCTCCCGTCGCTTGTCCCAGCTCCCGCCAACCTAGCGGTTCGAAAGCATGCAAATGCAAGTAGATAAATAGGGACCACCTTGGTGGGAAGGTAACAGCGTTCCGTGTCTAAGTCGCACTGGCCATGTGACCACGGAAAGATTGTCTTCGGACAAACGCTGGCTCTATGGCTTGGAAACGGGGATGAGCACTGCCCCCTAGAGTCGGACACGACTGAACAAAAATTGTCAAGGGGAACCTTTACCTTTACCTTTACCTAGCAATTTCCAGAGTTCTGAAATTATATTGGCACTCACTAATCGGGGGCACTCTACTACCATCATCACTAAATCTGCAGTTTTGATGGCCTTCCTGGGCTTTTACTTGCCTTCACCCTGCAAGATACACTTTCCTCACATTCCTTGTTTACAAGTAAAGTCGTGCTTGTAAATAATGAACATTTAAAAATTGTGCTATAGACATAGTTAAAGATGTGGCCAAAGAACACAGGGGATGAATGCAGCACTATTCAAACAACCAGGAGGTTATAATACCAATTGTCAAACATTTGAAAGATTTTGCGGGGTGGAGAGATATATTCTTTGGATTATCCATGGTTCCTCTTGCCCAACAACATGACTGTTTATTTTACGTGCCTTTTCCCCCCATGAATACTTACAGAATTCAGAGTTGGTGTGACGCTCTCTTATATCACCGTTTGGATATTCATAGAAAAGTGAAGTTGGAAGGGGCCTACAAGGCCATTAAGTCCAACCCCCAAGGTCCCTTGGTATTTGCAGAAAACCATCTAAATAGCATCTTTCCCACGAATAAATGATCTGTTTTACAAGATGTTCTTGTGCTCAAGCCCCATTGAAGTGAACAGGAGCTGAGTCAAAGCACTGCTGTGCCTCTGTGGGGCTGCCGTTCATGTTGATAGGGGCTCTGCAAAAGTTCCATGAATATTCTGTCTTTGCATTTGGCCTTCCATATTGCCATGTCAAAGTCTCCTGGAGCCTCTAGAAACTGGGAAGGATCTGAGGTCTCCTGCCCAGTTCAGGTATACGCAAAGAACCTAGCCAAAATGTGATGGATATTTTATGGCAGGTGCCACTCCAATTTGACCGGAGACTACCCCTCTCCGGCTGTCATTGAACCACAACTCCCATCAGCTGCAGCCAGCGTAGACAATAATGAAAGACTGTGGCAGCTACAAATGTGCAGCACCTGTACAATCTTGCACTCTAATTTTTTTAAAAAAATGCATTCATTTTCAATAGGGGTAGGATTAGAATTTGGGATAAAGGGCTAGGGGGCTTGGGAAGTAGACATGGGTGGGGAAAAGGTAAAATTTCAGAGGGCGAGAGAGTACTTGTACATCCACTTATACAGTTATACTAGAATAAGAAAACAGCAAAAAAGAGAACAATTTAACAAGTTTTCCAAGAATGCCTATAGTTACTAAATTCTCCATTCCCTGGTTGGACCTTCACATTCTTTTATCTACACTTTCCTGTCTACCTGCACACTGATTTATAGCATGTGAGTTCTAATCTTGTAAAACATTTCCTATGATGTTCTCTGATATTTTGAGTGGGGGTGGTGGTATAGGATTAGATGTTTAATTTTAAAACTATGTGGAAAGTGCTAGGGAACAGTAGACCTTAGCTCAAATGTCTGTGGCCTCTTCCTCTTGATTTTTAAGACTGTAATTCAGTACAGATTCCGTGACTTGAACTTCAGCCAGTTCTCTCCTTTGGTTACTATCTTGCCTGATGAAAAATAATGGAAAACTTTCATTTGGCCTCTTAAATTGGGCTCTAACGTGGATTTTGAAATTAGGCTCTTCTATGTTGTATAGAACAGGAGTCCCCAAACTCCGGGCCGTGGACCGGTCGCAGTTCGTGGCCTGGGAAGGACCAGACCACCAGGGCAGATGACCAGCGAGGAGGAAGTGAGTGGCGAGCGAAGCTCCGCTTCCTGTCAACGTGATCCTATTAGGTTATAATGCTGCTGCTCATCTGACAGGAGGCGGAGCTTCACTCCCTGCTCCCCCCCTGCTGCTGCGAGATCTGCTGAGCCTGTGGCATTAGAGTCTAATAGGAGCCTGCGCTCCTATTAGGTTCTAATGCTGCTGCTGATCTAACAGGAGGTAGAGCTTCAATTGCAGCTCACCTCCTGCTCCTGCTCGCCTTTTCCTTTATGAGCTCGATTCAAAGCTATCCCCCAACAATCTACTGCATAAGAAGTACTCCCCCAAAAGTCCTTGGGAGAATGTCTTCAACTAAACTGGTCCCTGGTGTCAAAAAGCTTGGGGACCACTGGTGTAGAAAACGATCTTGTTATCTGCTGTCAAGTTGGAACTGACTTACAATCTTAGAACTGCAGAACTGGAAGGGACCCTAAGGATCCTTTACCTTTACCTTTACCTAGCAATTTCTAGAGTTCTGAAATTATTTTGGCACTCACTAATTGGGGGCACTCTACTACCATAATCACTAAATCAC